CTGTTTTGCTTCTGACCATGGCCTCCCTTAATCTACTCTCTTTTTTATTCCTCCCTTTTTCTTAACTCCTTTTACTTCTACTTTCTTATTGGGTAAGATGAATTTTTGTACCCAACTATGTGAGTATGTTCATTTCCTCCTCCTTGAACCAGTTCTGATGAAGTGAGGTTTGAGTTTGTCTTCTTACCCATCACTGCTCTCTCCATTGTACAAACTCAGCCTTGTGTGCTTCATTTATGTGAGGTAATTTTCCCCAATTCTTCCTCTCCCCAATGCATTCTTTCCCCCATCTTTCTATTCTTCTTTTGGGATTATCTCAAATTAATAAAATCAGACCCAAGATCTCTGTATAGTTAGACTCTCTCTAAGAGTCTTAGTGATGATAAAATTTTGAGGGGTTACATGGGGTTATTCTCCTTATATGAAAATGTAAACAGTTTTATCTTGTTTAGTCCCTTATGATTTCTCCCTCATGTTTATCTTTTTATGCTTCACTTAAGTCATGTGTTTGAATATAAAATTTTATCTTTAGCTCTATATTTTTTGGCAGGTGTGCTTGAAAGTTTTCTATTTTATTAAATGTCCATTCCCCCTGCCCCTGTAGGATTATACACAGTTTTGTTAGATAGATTACTCTTTAATATATTCCTAAATCCTTTGCCTTTCAGAATATCATATTTCAAGTTCTCTATTTCTTTATAGTGGTGGCTGCTAAATTTTGTGTGATCTTGACTGTGGTTCTATGGTAATTAAATTCTTTCTTTCTTGCTATTTGTGGTATTTTCTCCTTGTCTTAGGAGTTTTGGATTTTTGTTATAATATTCCTGGAAGTTTTTTTTTTTTCTAGTGGATTCTTTACATTTCTACTTTGCCCTCTTGTTCTAAGATATATGTTCAGATTTCCTTTATAATTTCTTGAAATATGATGTCTAGGCTCCTGTTTTTTGGCTCATGTGTTTCAGGTAGTCAAGTGATTCTTAAATTATGTCTCCTTAATCTTTTTTCCAGGTCATTTTTTTGGTATGAGATATTTCACATTTTCTTCTATTTTTTTCAGTCTTTTGACTTTCTTTTGTTATTTGTTGATGTCTCATGGAGTCATTAGCTTCAGTTTGGTTAATTCTAATTTTAAGGAGTTATTTTCTTCAGCAATTTTTTTTACCTGTTTTACCATTTGGCTATTCCTATTTTAAAGGAGTAATTTTCTTCAATAATATTCTACACATCTTTTAGAAAACTGTTAATTTTTAAAATAGCTTTCTTGCATAGCTCTCATTCACTTCCCCATTTTTCATTTTCCTTTTAAAATATATATATTTCTTTAACTCTTCTAAGAATCTTGTTGGGCTTGTGTCTGATCTGCATTTTTTCCCCTTTGAGGTGTTACTTGTAGATGTTTTCAAGTCATTGTCATCTTCTATGTTTATGTCTTGAGTGTCCCCATTACCATAGTAGCTGTTCGTGTTTGGATCCTTTTTTTTTGTTTGCTCATTCTTTCATCCTACTTCTTGCCTTTAGATTTTGTTAGTTTTGGGCTCTGCTCACTTCTGGGAGTGGTGGTGGTTGTGTCTGGCCTGAGCTCCTGTCTTTTTATGACCTCCTGAAGGTCTGCATGTTTTCAGCATTTTTCCAAAGTGGTATGATGTAGGGAAAGGTTTGTTCACTCTGTCCTGCTATGAGCTCTGTGAGTTTCTGCCCCAAGTTTGAGTCTGTTGGATTGTATGTGGTTGGGCTCATATGCACAAGCTAAGTTTTTGGAACTTACTCCATACTCAGGGCCTCTTGCATTGGTGACCATTCCTCTCCATCTTAAAACTATGATCCAGAACTAGGCAATGGGTAACAGAGCTGCCAGATGGCACTTGTTCCTGTTCCTGGAACTGGTTTAGGGTTTCCCCTAGGATCCCTGGCTGCCCAAGGTGACGTTTAATCACAAACCCTTTACTGTTCATGGGTGATAGAATGTTCTCTACTGCTGCTTCTGCTACCACCATGCTGCATTCTTAGCCAGCTTAACTCTCATCCCCTGTCAGTGTTCACAGATCTTTCTGTCCATCTTCCTAAACTGCCTGGGGCTGGAAAAATGACTCACTGTGATTTTCTTTGCTTTTCCAATCAGAGTTTGACCTGGCTCTAAAAATTTTTTAGGTGCTATGGAGGAGGCGTGTTGGGTGAGTGGGGCAAAAATGCTGGCTCTCACTTCACCATCTTTACTCTTCCTCTCTGCTCACTTAACTGCATCATTTCTTACAAGTCTTCCTAGGCTTCTCAGAAACCATAATCATTATAATTTCTTACAGTGAAGTAATCTTCCAATACATTCATCTACCATAATTTATTCAGCCACCTCCCAAATGATGGGTACTCCCTTACCTTCCAGTTTGTGCCATTATTTATAAAAACAACTGCTATAAGTGTTTTTATACATCTCTCTCTCTCTCTCTCACACACACACACACACACACACACACACACACACACACACACACACACACACTCTTTTATCCCTTTGGGAATATAGACCTAGTAGTGGTATCACCCAGCTAAAGGGTTGTACACTTTAGTGACTTTTTGAGCATAGTTCCAAATTACTTTCCAGAATGACTAGACCAATTTAAAGCTCCACAATCATAACAAGAACAATAAGAATTATATTAATGGATGCAGAAAAAGCTTTTGACAAAATACAAAACTCATTTCTGTTTTAAAAACAACAACACTAGAAAGCATGGAATAGATGAACATTATCTTAATATCATTCCCAGGTTTAGGTATTGGGACTACACTTGTCTCATAAAAGGAGTTTGGTCATGTCCTTTCTTAAATTTGTATAATAATTTGGGTAGTAGAGGTATTAGTTCTTTAAAAGTTTGATAAAATTCCTCTGTAAACCCACTTACATCAGGTTCCCTCCTTTTCCCCCACTCTGCTTTGGTAGTTCCTTTATTGATACTTTGATGTCTTTTTTTTTTTGAGATTGAATCATTTAAGATATTTACTTTTAAGATATCCCATTAATTTAAGTATTTTGTGGGTAGTATGGGCAGGAGCTCAAAGCCTCCCCTCCCTTCACTCTGTGGGCTGACTCAGTCAGACACTGTAGTAGTCTGGGGTTCCAAAAGAATGGCCAAGACAGTACTGATACAATTCAAAACTCTCTCAAGGGCTTGGGGGTAGCCCTAGTATATTTTTTGGGGGAATATACTCCTACTATTTTCTCTTATAGCTCTTGAACTCCCCACCAATGTGCTTCTCTTTTACACAAAATCAGTCACTATGATGTCATTAACTCAAACATAAAACATTTACTTAATGATAAAGAAAAGCAAGAATAATTACAATATTTACCTTTTAAAAAGAAAAATCAGAAATAAGCATAACTTCTACTTAATAAGTAAAAGCAGAAGCAATCTAACATTCTACCTACATAATAGAAGGCAAAAGCTGTGATAATCAAAACACTACAATCTACTTATAAACCTGAAAATAGTTTCCTATCAATTCACTCAGTGACTATGGGAAAGAGTGGACACAGACTTGTAAAAACCTAGCAGGGAGGTAAAGAGTGAGAATTCCCAGCTCTGGACCACACACCTTGATGTCTTTGGTCTCTTGGGTGACAATCTATACCATATGAAGCTGCTAGCGGCTCTCCTGTCCTTACCACCATTGAGTTTACTTTGCACTCAAGGTATTGGAAAGTTCTTGTAAATGTGAAATTCTTTCAAGGTCAAATGTTTCTTCCTCAGAAAGTCGCTTAGTGGGATCATCCTTAGTATAAAAGTGCCACTTATACACAGCCTTGCTGATATTAGGAGAATCATGAATGAACACAGTATGTTATTGGCAGACATGCTACGTGGGTAGGCAGCTAAGTGGCATAGCAGATGGAGTGATGGTGTTTGTGTCAGGGAGATCTAAATTTGAATACTGCCTCAGGCACTTACTAGATGTGTTACCGTGGACAAGTCACTTAGTCACTATCTGTCTCAGTACCGTCTTTTATAAAATAACAACAGCAACTACCTTTGAGGGTTGCTATGAGAATCAAATGAGATAATATTTGTAAAGAACTTGGCAAAACTTAAAATAGTATGTAAATGCTACCTATGAAATTATAACAACTATTAATATAATTATTTTAGCATTCCAAAAAAGAATTGAGACTCTCTTTGACTGACCTGTCCACACTGCAACACATAGGAAAAGACAAAAAAAGGCTTCTCTCAGCTCACAGTCACATTGTTGGGGGATGTCTGTGAGGCTTCTCTGATAGGTGTCTCATAAAATGAGATCACGGGGCAGCTAGGTGTGCAGTGGATAGAGCTCTGACTTTGGAGTTAGGAGGAGCTGAGTTGAAATTTGGCCTCAGACACTTGACACTTACTAGCTGTGTGACTTGGTCAAGTCATTTAACTCTGATTGCCTCACCAAAAAGAAGAAAAAAGACGAGATCACAAAGAAAGGAGTCGGAATAGATAAAAACAATTGAAGGGAGAGTCACTCTTAGGGATAGACAGGATAAATGATTAAGATAAAACCTCCTACAACAGTGGAATTCTTTCCGAAGTTAGAGCTGGCATGTTGTGTTACATGAATATACTTGAACAGTTTCTCTCTAAATGGTTTCATGTCTAGAAATCTGTCTACACTAAATAGAATACTGAAGCAAATACTATGGACTCAATCTTCCAGAGTGAAGAAGGGAAGAGGGCTGCATCTTTTCTTCAGTGTTCCAGAAGTATCTGTGAGTGGCTGGGGATGTACTATCAGTTTGAGTTTCTTTTCTAGTGTCCTATTTCCACTGTTAGCTGCCATTAACTAGTGCTGTAGTTCCATTTAACCAATTAACTTTGATTAGCTTTTTTACAAGGGAATGTTTATGTTGAGGGGTGTATGGGGTGTTCAGGGAGGACTAGCACCTCTGGTGTGAGGGCTTGCTGAGCCCTTTTTAGGGCTGGTCATCCACCTTTGGGGTCTATTTGGCATGCAACTCTTACCTGTGCCTCCAAGAAGCTGTAGCATGAGCACCAGTCACATCCCTGTAAGCCACCTCAATGGATGGGCTAAACTGGATTGAGGGTAACTGATGATCTCAAACCCATCGGTGAGTTAGGGGGATGTCTACCCAAGCATGTGAAGACTTCTTCTGGAATGAGTGGATGAGAACAATTTTTTCCAACGGCGGTAAACTGAGTGCTTGTGGCTTGGTCAGATATTGAACACACCAAGATCACCCACTTCATCCTGGGCCATTGCCAGTCATCTTGACTTTTGTCTTGCCGCTGGATTTCAGTGACCATGGAAAAGAGAGTGACGATGATGCCTTTGTGAGACTCTGTCTCACTTAAATCCGATTCATGCACAAGTCAAGACATCACCCCATGATGTCATTGGACCAATTTGAAAATGAATAACAAACCACAACAATTTACCTCCAAGGTATAGAAAGAAATATGAATAATTGCTCACCTCTCCCACAGTCTCCCCCGTGGCACCTCAGTCTCTAGGGAAGGTGGATTCAATTGAAGATGTTTTTACACAGCATCTGCCCACCAAGTTCATGGTCAAATTTAGCATTATTGTTGAATGAGTCTCAGCTACCCAGAGGTTGGTCCTGAAGGTTGTTTCTCTTGACTCCTCCCAAGTGTCAGGCAGCAAAACCTGGCATGGACGCCCCCACCCCCAAATCTCCTGGTAACTCCTTCTCTTGACTTTTTGAAGCTCATAAGATCATAGCTATTTTAAATTTTTTAAAACCTAAAACTGGAAAGAATAAATGCAGAGGCAATGAGCAAAGGCTCATATTTATGGGCCACAAGTCTGCCTCATACAGGTCTGAGATCTCTTCTTTTGTCTCTCGCTAGAATTCAGCCTCCAGGCAGCAAGGAGTCAGACTACAAAGAGATTGGATCTGGCTGACTTGCACCTTTTAAATGCACTTGGCAATCACAAAGGATCTGCTTCATATGTAACTGGCAGATTGGAACCAGTTATAGGATGTCTGTGCATGCCCCAGTCTCTTCATGGCTTAAGTTCCATTACATATCATCGTGGCCTTTTTTCTGAAACAGAATCTCTCCCCAGTTTCCACCTCTGCCCATTTCATATGGAGGTGATTGTATCAGCTGAACATTCTGCTGTCTGCTCACCAGCCCTTGTTACATAAAAAAATAAAGATTCTTCTGACCTATCTAAAAAACAAACGAAGTAATTCTTGGATTACAGGTGATGAGCTTGTGGGCAGCAGTCTCCTTTAGGAAGATTTACAGGAGCTTTGAAAGGAACCTCTTTTGTCTTTGATCTGATGACAGGAAGTGCTGGGGGAGGAGAGGAGGGAATGACTTGGGACTTCTCCGTCAGCCCATGTTTTGTATTTTCCTAGTCAAAGCACCAATGTGTTGTGAGAAAAGCCATTTTAGAGTAGCAGGTCAGAAAGAAATTTTATTAACAAACATAGAGCTAAGCGAAGAATTCTATAGAAGAACCCCCCAATGGCATATAGTAGCCATTTTATTCTTTAAGAAAAACAACTTGTAAAGCTATCCACATCCAGAGAAAGAATTATGGAGTCTGAATGCAGATGGAAGCATACTATTTGCTCTTCTTTTCTTTTCTTGTTTTGTTTTGCTTCTTTCTTGTGGTTCCTCCCATTAGTTCTAGCTCTTCCATACATCATGACTAATGTGAAAATATGCTTAATATGAATGTATAAGTAGAGCCTACATCAGATTACATGCTGTCTTGGGGAGGGGGGAGGAGGGGGAGTGGGAGAAAATTTAAAACTCAAAATCTTATGGAAGTGAATGTTGAAAGCTAAAAATGAATAAATAAATTGTTTAAAATAAAAGAAAAGAAAAACTTGTTGTTTTTGAGGTTTTCCATAGCTGTTCTTGCAAGAGGGACAGAACGATTTGTTTTTTCTCTGGTCAGTTTTGCATGTGGAACAAAGTACCTAGTTTTCTCTATGGCTGACCTTACGTAAAGGACTGGATAGGGGCAACTCCAGGTACAGGGAAGTGAACATGACTGATGAATTGACAGTGAAATGGAGGATAGTTCAAAGATGGAGTCACTCATGTCAAGATGGGGGAAATTTAGGTTCCCTCTTTCTTTGTCTTCACATTTCAGTGATTCCTTTTGCTTTCTTTTGTATTTTAAAAATTTATTTTTATTTTTTTTTCTGTGTTTCCCAAGTGCTCTTCTGGGCTTTGAGAGTTTGTGGTTCCATACCAGTGAAGTTTCACACAGCAGTATGCAATTTGAGACTGGATTGTTCTTTCTCATATAGAGAGAAAGTTCTGTTCCTGACATCCCTTAACAATAAAGTCTTGCTTTTTGATTAGTCTTGATGGTTTGACAGTGCTGCTTGGCTAGAGTACACATGGCTGAGCTGAGGAACAATCTTTTCTGCCTTCACAATTGGTTTTTCAGGCAACTTAACTTTGACCCACATTCAATGCCCTTAGCAGCCTCAGATTCAGGTGTCTTTCATCTTGGCATGGGCAGCTGTGCCTGTACTGGGCAGCTTCTCATGATTAGCCTAAGGATGACATATTCAGTAACTTTGGGAGGCAGCTGTTACATCAGGATGGGCAGCTTGCCCAGTTTAGATGCTGATTATTATTCTGAGATTGACCTTGAAGAAACTATGGTATTTTAGAGTGTCTACCTGTGTGTGTAAAAGACCTGCTCAGTAAGATTTCTTGCAAAAAACCCAAATTGTTGAATGTTTAGATTGCAAACTATAAGATTATATTAAATTAAACTGCTAGTTATTTAAAAAATATTTTTATTAATTTTTTTTTGTTTTTATATCACCTACATATATGCCTTCTTCAACTTCCTCCCAGAGGGCCAACCCTTCTAACAAAAAGTAGAAGGAAGAGGAAGAAAAATATCAGCAAAACCACTCAACATATTAACAAAAATCTGATGTTATTTTCAATTTCCCCCCACCTAGTGACCCCATTCTCCTTCATCTCCTTCACTGATTTCATCCTTGTTCAAAGGAATGGGGAGATGTGTCTTATATCTCTTGTTTGAGGCCACGCTTGGTCATTATCATATCATAATATTCAGTTTTGACTATTTTGTTGTTGTTTCTATTTACATGATTATAGTCATTACGCTTATTGTTTTACTCTTCTGTTTACTTCACTTTACGTCAGCTCATATATCTTTCCGTGATTCTCTGTAGTCATCATGTTTGTAATTTCTTACAGAAAAACCATATTCCATTATGTCCACTTAACATAATTTGCTTCATCCTTCTTTCCAGATCTTTGCTACCACAAAAAGTAATTAGAATATTTTGGCATATATGGAGTTTTTTAAAAAATCACTGACCATAGTGTCATCTCTGAGGTAAAGGGTATGGCCACCTTAGTTACTTCATTTGCATAATTCCAAATTGCTTTCTAGAATTGCTATATAGATTCACCAATTCACCAGCAATGTACTAGTGTGCCTATCCTTCCATAACCTCTTCTACATCAACCCTTTTCATCCTTTGTCATTTTGCCAATTTACTAGGTGTGCGGCAAAGTCTTAAGATTGTTCTTATGTGCATTTCTATTGTTATTACTAATAATATGGGGTGCTATTTATATTGATTGTTTATAATTTACAATCTTTTTGAGAACTATTTGCTCATATCTTTTGCCCACTTTATCTGTTGGGGAAAGGCTTCTGGTTATAGATTTCTATTAGCTGTCTAGATATCTAGACACCAAACTCTTATCAGAGATATTTAATAACAAGACTTTTTTTCCTGAGTGAACTGCTTATCTTCTTATTCTGGATGCATTAATTTTGTTTATGCAAATGATTTTCCATTGTATATGACCAAAATTATCTATTTAATCTTTTTTAATGATCTCTATCTTTTGTTTGGTTAAGAATTCCCTCCCAATCTGTAGCTTTGAAATGTATGTGATTAATTTCTTTTCTATTTTTTGATGATACAACCTGTAATATTCATGTCACATATTCCTTTTGAATTTATTGTGAAATGTGATGTAGGATGTCATTCTGAGCCTAATTTCTGCTAGGCTGCTTCCCAGTTTTCCCAGTAGTTCTTATCAAATAGGAGTTCTTCCCTATAATTCAAATTTTTGAACTTATTAAAAACTAGGATATTGTGTATGATACTGTGAATCTCCATTTCATACTGCTTGTTTTTTTAAAGTATACAATAACTGCTGAAAGTTACCTTCAAAACTATCCTGTTTGCTTTTTTCTGAACTTCTTTCTATTTCTTTTTGTGCATTTAAAAATATCTTAATGAAAAAAATTGCTATTTCTAATTCTCCCTCTTCTCCCATTAAAAAAAATAAGAGATGGAAAAAAATCCCTTGCAATGAATAAGCACAGTTGAGCAAAATGAGTTCATACAGTGGATGTGTCAAAAAATATACGTCTCTTTCTGTACCATGAGTCTATCACCTCTGTCAGGACATGAGTAAGGTGCTTTAATGTAAGTTCTTTGGAGACATGTTGGTCTTTGCATTGATCAGATTTCTTCAATCTTTCAAAGCTGTTTTTCTTTACAATGTTATTGAACTTCTATGAATTATTCTACTCATTCCACTTGGTGTTAGTTCGTATTATACTGGGCTATCACCAGTCATCCTGATCTTTATCTTGCCACTGGACCCAGATGGCTGCCGAGGAGAAAGTGAGGCTGGTGACTTTGCACAGCCTCCCTCACTTAAATCCAATCCATGTGCAAGTCGTGGCATTATCTTCCTGATGTCATGGACCTCTTTGAAAATGAAGGACAAAAACCACACTTCATATTACTCAGGATTCTTTGAAATCATTTATTGCACAATAATATTCTATTACATGCATATAACCATAATATGTTCAGTTATTTCCCAATTGTTTGACATAACCTTATATTGTGGTTCTTTGCTTTCCTTTTTTCTACTTTTTAATTATGTCTTCAAGATTAAGATCAGGGCATTTGTTTTGTTTCTGCTATTCCTAGGATTATCCTTACCCTCAACCTCTTCACTCTTTATCCTTACTGTTTTCCTGTTGAGTTTGATGGATTTCCA